GGATCAACTAGGAGTACATAGCTTATTCATAAACTAGATGTTTTTCCACTTCCAATACAGGTGCTTCATTTTCTTTACAGTTAACAACTATTTATTATTTGTAATATCCTAGCATTTATTAACCTCAGGCATGGACCAGGATCCCACTGAGCAATATGCAAACAGAATTGACACTGTCCTGCCCCGAAGAGCTTATAATCTAAGTATAAAACAAGAGACAACAGATGGGAGAATACATTTTCACATTTTTTCCTTGTGTTCTTGAGAAGGAACAAGTTACAGAACTATCAGTGTGAAGAAGACTGTCCTATCAAGCTGAAGATAATCCATCTTTCCCTTCCTCTACCCTACAAAGTGATCAAGATTATTTTGGGAGGCAAGGGATAGGACAGCAAGACCTCCTTCTTTCTACACCTCCCAGCCCAGATCCCAATTTTAAGTATTATTTTGAAGGCACAATTTATCTCCTTTCCAACCCACCCAATGGAGCAAGATATAAGATCTGCATAAGAAAAAACAGAGAAAGAGGACAACCAACCAAGGGGACAGGTGTGTAGCCTTTTTTTTTACAGGTGCTAGTTAGAAAATGCCATAAGCATTTCATGACAAATGTCCGAGCATAGTGTAGACCCAGATAGGCTATTATTTCAGTAAACAACCTTACTGTGATTCCACAGTTGTAAAATTTCATGGATTTACTACAAAAAAAAAAATCACAATATGTGTTATTTTTCTCAAACTCACAGCTGCTGCAATCACTAGCTTTCTTTTTTTAAATGAAAGTTTCTTGGCCTCATGGTTGCAGGAAAATCCTTTCAAGTATGCTGCCTACTGCCTCAAAAGCCAGAAAGCACAGAATCTTCCCTCACTTTTTAAAGAAAACCATGCTTTTTAAACCAATTGCATAGTGTTTTGGTGTGGATTGATGATTTCTGAGTAATTGAAATTGGTAATATAAGATAGAACTCAGCAGATTTCAAAAGGAAAATACCTTTTTAACTGATAAGGAAGAATCTTCTTGAGAAAACAGGTGTAGGAAGTTAAATGTTCAGAGAAGGCCTTCAATTTCACAGTTGTTTCCTAAAGAAAAGATAACTGGATTTTAAGAGATTTTCCCAGTAATTGATTTTTCATTAGAAAAAAAAAATCTACCCGTAATCAAAAAATATTACCAGCACAGTCACAGTATCTTCTGTAATACTCTCGAACAAATGAAGCATTCCTTCCTCCAGAGGGCGTACATAGGATGCATTTTCATGGAGATACTGTGAGAACTGAATACAAAGAGGTTTAAGTGGCACTTGTTAGTGCAGATTACAAACTGCTCAAAGCTGATAGTTGAATATCACAGTAATACAGCACCTTTCATTTTGAAAGATCCCAAAGTGCTTCACAAAAGGCATACACTCCTACTGATGTACAGCCATCTCTGAAAGGCAGGATACCCTGCACTATTTTGTGGAGGAAAATGATACTGGAAGCAAATTCTGGTCAGGGATACTGGGACAAAACAGAAAAGGGGGATGGAATTTTTAGTGGCTATACACATCTGTCAGAACCTCTACCTACCTAAAGCTCACCCATAAAAAAACCTAATGAGCTACCTTAAAAAGAAAAGCTTCATTAAGAAACCTTTAAAAAAGTTTCAGGGGGTAGCCGTGTTAGTCTGTACAGAAAAAACAACAACAAATGGTCTGGTAGCACTTTAAAGACTAACAAAACATGTAGACGGTATCATAAGCTTTCGTGTGCACAGCCTACTTCTTCAGACGACCAGAGTTTGAGTTTGGGGCCTAAACTGAGGCAAAAATTGAAAGATATAAGTGCTAGACTAAGGGGATGTCTCTGAGGAGAGAGACAGCTAAGGACTCTGTCTGCAACAGAGGGCAGTAAGAGAGGAACTGAGGGGGAGTAGGAGGGGAAGGGCCACATGTGAGGCAGCTGTCAAACCGCCAATGGCTTGAACCGTCTCCTGCACATCAGCAGCCCGATGGTAAACTGCTAGGGAAAAAGCTCCGAACTGCAGCTGTGGAGATGACCTGTCACCAACAGCGGAGCACTCACAGGGACATCACCCAAAGAACTTCAGTCCTCTCTGGCCCTTCCCCCACTATGGGTTGGAGCACCAGGAGTGTTTGTGTTGAGGAGGGTCACATCAGTGATAGTTAGGGGTTTCCGGAGGGGTTTTATTTTGCTTCTCACTTGTGTGGTCCCCAACTGATTTTTCTATAGGTCAGTGGTCCCTAATCCAAAAAGGTTCCTCGCTCCTGCCATAAATCAAGACAATGTTGAAACCTTATGTGTTGGACATAATATTTTACTTTAATTAAAAATGAAGTGTGGCCAACAAGCCCCCACTGGGGCCCAGCCCCCATCTGGCTGCAGCATCATAACACACCTGTACTGCTGCACACACCAACCATGAATCCATCGTACACCTTAACACCTTGACCTGAGGCCCTTGTACCCCCACATCCCCAGACTCCAGCACCCGCATATCCCCAGTCCTCGGCCATAACACATCTGCACTCCCCACACACCCCATCCTTGTGCCTTGAGTCCATCATACACCCAATCTCGTGCCCTGAACCCCTCATATGCCCAAACCCAGACTCTTGCACCCCCACATCACCAGCCCCCTACCATAAGATTGACAGAAGACAGCCTGACTGTGTGCATGAAGTTGGATTTGACCAGTTATGATGTAAACTGCAAAGAAATGCGTGAATAGATGCAGCAGAAGTCCCCTTAAATAAAGTCTGAGTCCTATATTCCATTTATGCTATTATTAATCATTATGTCAATTATCAAAAATATGTTGTATATTGTCAGTCATTCAAATGGGCATTCTTATAGGGCTCTTTGTTGACCACTTGGTCTGAATTTTGATGTAGTTTGGTTTGAAAAGGTTGCCAACTCCTGATCTAGTCCTTATCTTCAATATGTTAGAATAGGTGTGACTGGAATGTCAACAATTCTTGGGATGCAAAAGACCAAATACACACAGCTTACACACACTCAGCTATGTTAAATCTGCAGTGCTACAAGGATTTGTAAAAAAGAAGAACTTGTCACTTAAGTCAGTAGATATGGCACTGAACATAGAAAGGGACCAGATCAGCTATGTAAGATTTTGCTGTTACTATGCAGAATACAACTGCATTTTGGAAGTTACATAGAGAAATCCAAGTAAATCATGTCTTTTTTTAACTCACTCACTGTTTCACTCCTGAAAAGAAGCAATTGCTAAAAGGCTAATTCTTGTAGCTCTAAGTACAGAGCTATTTAAGTAATACTAATAGCAACAACAGTACTAGCGATCTTGCAAATAGAGAAGTGGATAACTTTTAGCTTAGCATTCAAGTTTATTTGAAACTTACTAGAAGGCTAAAGAATGGAAAAACCTCCCAGAGTTTGGATTACAGTTGGCAAAAGTAAACTGGGCTCTCCAATCATTTAAGTGCTATTCTGGACTCTGAAATTCTAGGTCCAACATTTAAGAGCAGTGAGAGATCTGGGTTACAACAAAGTGTGGGTAGACATCTTTTCTGAGGCTTGTCCCAGAGAAAGAAACAGACAGACAATCACATGGAATACAGTAATTCCTCATTTAACACGTGCCCGCTTAACACGTTTTCACGATAGCACAATTTTTTTTTTTTGAGGGAACGTTTTTTGAATTACACAACCATCCCTGGAATAACACGATTTCCCCAGCAAGCCTGTTGCTGGTGGCTGCACAGGGCTTCCCCCATCCCCCTGCAAAGCGGTGGAGGGTTCGCCGCTCGCCGCGATATTCCCCGCTGACTCCCCCCTTTGCCGGACGCCTTGCCCCCTCTCCTCCGCCCCCACTTGCAGGCTGGTGGCTGGGTTTTCCCAGCCCTCCCGTTGCCGGTGGCTGCGCAGGGCTTCCCCTGCCTCCCTGCATAGTGGCAGAGGGTTCGCCGCTCGCCGCACCATTTCCCGGCAACCCCCCTCGCGAGACACAGTGCAGGTCCCGGCAGACCCATCACAGGGGCATACTCTCAACCCAATTCCTCTCCCCTCTCTTCCCCTTCCCTTCCCCAGAGCCAAACACCTCCCCTCCCTGCTGTAACCCAGTCCCCTTTTTCCCCCAACCTTATGTCCCCGTCCCAATAGACAACACTGCTTGAAACGCAACCCCCACCTTTTCCATTATTTTCATTGGGAAAATTCACCCCGCATAACACATTTTCACTTAACACGATCATTTTCTGAAACATTTCTATAGTGTTAAATGAGGAATTATTGTACGCTCAACAATTCTGGACAATGTATTATGCTCTAGAAAAAGATCTCATTATAGGTAGTAGTAGCTTTTTCTGTATAACCCTTTCCATAGCCTCTTCCATTTAAGATAGTTCAAAGCACTGCAGGGACATAAAGCTTTACAATTACTCTAGAACATGAGGATGCTTAAAAGAGACAGATAGCCCAAGATCAGACAGTAAGATAATGAAGGACTTGGGAAAGAGACCAAAAAGAGTTCATTTTATGCAAACCATAACATTGCCACTTCTAATATTTAAAAAATCTATTTCCTTTTAGTAATAGAAATGTAGCTGTGTTAGTATGGTCTATCTGAAACAAAAAACAAGACTATGTAGCACTTTAAAGACTAACAAGATGGTTTATTAGGTGATGGCCCACGAAAGCTCATCACCTAATAAACCATCTTGTAAGTCTTTAAAGTGCTACATAGTCCTGTGTTTTGTATTTCCTTTTAGTTTCCTATTACAGAGATGTAACAGTATACAATTAACTAGGCCTCTCTCGGTCTTCATATGTGACTTATCTTCATGCTACTCAAAATATTCTTATGACAGCTATTAAAAGGAAAGGGCAGCTCTCAGGTAATGTAATACAGGGCATCCCCGCTATAAGTTGCCCCAGTATATGTTGGTTTCACACTCAAGTGATTGACACTTGTGGGAACTGATGCGCTATAAGCCCTCCATTCTCCACTCTTAAGTCATGCAAAAACAACCCCCAAAACCCGATTTGCGCAAATAGCCACACGAAAAAAAATTCCCCATTTTAAGTTGTTTTACTATAAGGCCAAGTTTTTTGGAACATATCTTAGACTTATAGCGAGGATGGCCTATACTTAGATGTCTGAAGGTAATCCACTGGCTCATTTAATAAGTGCAGTTTAGACTTCTGTGCTTTTAGCAGAGCCTTATTTTGATTATTGTATTGCTCATAGAATAAAAGGCACAGGGAAGGAGAAACAGGATTCTCTACAGCCATTCCCTCTCCCATATCCAAAGGATTCCTGTCCCAGCAGTGACCCTCTGAAGAAGACAGACTTCTCCAGAAATTGTTAATGCTGGTCCAATAAAGATATAATAAGGTGTTTCTCATTAAAGGGATTAGAGAAGATGTGCTATGAACAGGAACAGGCCAAAGTACAACGTAATCAAGCTTCTGTACAATATTAACTGAAAAATCAAATTTACCTTCTGGTTTAATGGCGATATAGTATCAATGGCAGAATCTATGGGAAAAATCTGGACTCTCTGCTCCATGTAAGTATGAAAGTTCAGAAGAGCTGTCACAAGATCCTGAACGAAAACCAAAGCCTGACCAGCAATGTCTCGCAACTTCAGCTTTAACACAAAGATTTACAATTGGCATATTGCAGTTACAACAAATATAATTTTAAAATTGAGACCTTGAATCAACACTGATTATAATTAGATGCAATAAGAACAGTTATTGTCTACAACGCCTATCATGTTTGACCCCTTACTGTGATTTAGATCTTTCTGCCTAAAGTCCAGGACAGCAGGATTGTATCCAGAGATTAGCTGTACATGGTTTGGCATGTTTAAGGGTTAGAACTATGCTTTAAAATGCTGCTCTTAACATGTTTTATGGTGGGACAACAAAACCATCTGAAATTGCAGAATGCCATTCTATGAAAGATAAAAGGGCCAAGTTTACAAAGGAGTTTAGATGCTCAACTGTATTTTAAAAAAAAAAAAAAGCTTTAGTGAGAGTTCAGTACCTAAAGATGTAGATGGGCACTGAGTGGGATTTAATAGAGCACCTATGCAGGTTAGGTTCCTGACTCAATTCAAAACTTGCTTAGGTGCTTTACTAATTTATCTATACCTTTTAGAGGCCAAAATAGTTCCTGGAACAGATTCACAAAGGTACCTTCTTAACCAACCCATGCCTATTACTACAAATTTGCACACAGTAACACAAGAATATCTTCCCATAATATGTTCCTTTTCATATAACCTAGTAGCCTGGTGGTGCTTTGCTATAAATATGTCTTGTTATCCTACTTTTCCTCATTATCAACTACCCCATGCTAAGGATGTTAAATATCGACTAACTGACTAATTCAATAGTTGATGCATTTTTTGCATTGACTATTTGATTAGTCAATAGAGTGATTCCGCCTTTGAAGTGTAACAACAGCCCTAGGGTGAAAGCACCACGTGGAGCCCGGGATCAGCTGAGGTCTCCAGCTGACGCCGGGCTCCACACATCGCTGCCACTTTGAAACACCGCATACAGCCTAGGGATACCCCAGCTGGCCCCAGGCTGCACATGGCATTTCAAAGCGGCAGCAATGCATGTAGCCTGGGGTCTGGCCCATCCCCATGCCTCAAACCAGAAACCCCTCATGCATCTCGAATTGCTAGTTAACAAAAATATTTAACTAACTGGCACCACTGTTCCTGCAATATGCTGGATAGCAAAGCTTTTTCCTGTATTTTGTTGAGGGGAGAGAAAGGAAAAGTTTGTTTTTTGGTGGTAAGGAAGCACAGAAAGTTCTTTTGCATTTGCTTATCGGATAGTCAGCTGGTCCTTCACATCCCTACTCCATGCTTTTTTCTTATTCAATAATGTCTCACCAAAGTTTATGATTAAAATCTTCACTGCTTAAGTCTCCCCAGATATAGTATCTTACACATTTCTTTTTACTATGCATTTCTCTAACTTACTCCAAATACTCCATTCTCTGCCTCCTATTTTGGTGTCTGTGTATTTCAACCAATGCAGTTACAGTAGAACCTCATTAATCCAAGCAAAACCACAGATTTTTAAGACTGTAGACTAGTGAGCAACCAGTATGGATCTACTTCTGTACCACAGACAAGAACAGAGATTGATTGAAGCTATATTCCCATAGGCCGAAAAGGATGGCCACTTCAAGTACTGGTTTAGTCAGGTGCTACCACTCAGCAGTTATCTGAACTAAACTATCTCCATTATAAAACAGGCCAGTAAGTCATTTATTCACTGCCAACTTGGCTACGGCAACAGAGAGTCCATTCTCTTCAGGGATGCTCCTGAAGAACAAAGGGCAGTCATGATAATCTTTCTAAAAAGGAATCCTTGGCATGCAATCTTTGGCAATCAGGAACCTTCATTCTGCATCTAGTGATTGCTTTTCCCTTCCATGATGCTAGCAGAGCCACAAATCAGTGTCAGACTACATCCTCAATAAAGCACCAGCTAGATAGAACAAGAGCAGCATAAGCACTGGCAAACTGCACTTGATCTGATCCAAAACTGTACTGACACACAGGGGTGGGATCTCTGGGTAACATAGCACTCCTCAACTGAGCTGGCACATAGGCCAGCAGCGGAACCTGGATGACCTATGCTTTTATAAAACACACAGGATTTGAGAGGGGAACTGCATTGATGTATTATAAGAAAAGCAATAAGTAGACATAGCTTTCTAACTTATTGTCCAGTGTCAAGATCAATAAACTATTTACATTTTTGTCTTACACATTCATAATACATTTATTTAAAAAAACAGACTTACAGGCATGTAAGGTTATTACTTACCTGACATCTTCTATTGTGTAATGGTACATTCAGAGCATTATATGGACTAGATCCTACAAGCCAAAAATTGACAATTATACATACATTACAAATAACTGAGTCATTTTTACGTTAAATTATTATGACAGTAACAAAATTTGCTAAATTTAATGTTTAGTTTGTCACTGAGTTTAAAATAAATTTTACATATTTGACACAGAAATGAAGCAGATACTAGACAGTATACACCATGTATACCACTAGTATAGCCCTAACCACACCTCTAGCCCTGCCCCTTCTACTAGGCCCTGGGAGACGGGGCAGCGCGCCACACATGCATACTCCCCATTTCCAACCACGGGGGTGGGGAGGAAGAGGAAGGCAGCGCTCATCGCAGCCTCACCAGCCCCGGTGGAAGGCATACCATCCTGAGTGGCCTGGCCAAACCTAGTCCAGCCTCTTGAGAACCGGGAGAGGCAGGGCATGCTGCGCCATGTGGTCCAACCCGGGCTCTCCAGCCCCAGAGTACCAGAGGAGGGCATGCCATGAGCTCCAAAGCACTGAGAGGGCGGGTGCTGGGGGCACCAACACTCCTCCGCCAGAACACCTACAGTAGGTGTTCTGGAAGCAGAGTGTGGGCGGGGCTATGCCTGGCGGTTTGGAAAGGCAGAACCTTCCCCCACCCTACATACCCGAAGCCCATGCGTATATACCTGAACAAAAACTCATTTGATTTTAGAAGTAATCACAATGACTGTACACATATTAGCACCATTATTGTGACACTTATAGCCGTAATGTCACTTCCATTCTAAAATCTGTGGTTTTTTAAAAAAACATAAAAACCAAACATTTGGAGCTAAAATTCACAAGAAATAGTAGAAGACTCAAATTTATCAAGCAAGAGGTGGAGTCAGGGGAAGCAGAATAGAAAGAATATTCTACCACTAAAGAGTTTTCAGACTTTTTTTAAAAATATTTTCTGATAATTCTAGATGGCCTTTTATTAAAGCAACAGATTTGGTATGTAAAGCAATGTATTCCTTAATACTCTACATCTGACAATTTTTGTGTTTGTAAATCAAGAGAAAACTAAAATGGGCATAAACAAGTTAAATCATTTTTAATGAAATTTTTCATAGTAGTACATGGTCTCAGAGTGGTAGCTGTGCTAGTCTGTATATGCAAAAACCACGAGTTCTGTGGCACCTTAAAGACTAACAGATTTATCAGGACAGATTTATCAGATTAAAGCTTTCATGGGTAAAACCCAATTCATCATACGAATTGGAGTGCAAGTTACAGAAGCAGGGTTATATATAAAAAGAAGTTTCTTGTGTTAATAAAGCTAATCAAGAAAAAATGGTTATTTACCTTCGTAACTGTTGTTCTTCGAGACGTGTTGCTCATGTCCAATTCCATGTAGGTGTGTGCGTGCTGCATGTGCACCTCATCGGAAGATTTTCCCTTAGCAGCATCCATTGGGCCAGCAGGAAGCCCCCTGGAGTTGCACCGATATATCAGCTAATATATACCCCTGCTGGCCCTCCAACCTCCTCGGTTCCTTCTTACCGGATTACTCTGAAGAAGGGGAGCCGGGCAGGATTTGGAATGGATACGAGCAACACATCTTGAGTGATTGCTCATATCCATTTCATGTAGGTCACTCCAAAGCAGAAACCCCAAGAGGCGGGGTCAGAGTTCTAGCCTTCAACTGAGTGGAGGACAGCCCTACCCAGGGCTGCATCCTCCCTACCCTGGTGGGCCAGCACATAGTGATTGGCAAAAGTGTGGACTGAAGACCATGTGGCAGTCCTGCAGATGTCCAGGATCAGGACCTGAGCCACAAAGGCCGTAGAGGAGTTCTGGGACCTAACGGTCTGGGCCATAGAGGAGGTCTAGGGCCGTGAGGGGAAGAGATGGCACTCCGGCCAGCCCATAAAACTCCCTGGTACAGGACGTAATCCACGAGGAGATGCTCTGCGCAGAGACCAGCTGCCCCTTCAGCCTCTCCGCAATTGGTACAAAGAGCTGTGGGGTCTTACGAAAGGGCTTTGTCCTTTCAAATAAAGGACTAGAGCTCTCCTAACATCTACAGTGTGTCATGACTGTTTCTTATCTGAAGCATGGAGCCAGAGGTAGAAAACTGGGAGAAACATGAAAGTGTTTCTTGTGTTTCATGTGTCTCATATTGAGACACATGAAAGTGAGACACCACCTTTGGAAGAAAGTCAGGGTGGGGGCATAACATGACTTTATCCTTGAAGAAAACTGCATACAGGGGGTCCGAAGTGGGGGCTCTCAGTTTGGACACACACCTGGCAGACGTGATAGACACCAAGAAAGACACCTTCCAAGAAAGGTGCAGCAGTGAGCATGTTGCCAGGGGCTCAAAGGGAGGCCCCATGAGTTTGGAAAGGACCAGGTTGAGGTCCCACTGATGGATGGGCTGACAGACATGTGGATAAAATCTGCCCAACCCTTTCAAAAACCTGTTTACCATGAGATCCACAAAGAGGGTCTTGCCCTGGAAGCCCAGGTGAAAAGCGGAGAGGGCTGCCAGGTGTACCCTCACTGTGGAAGAGGATAACCCCTGTAATCTAAGCTCCAGGAAACAGTTCAAAACCAGCAGGATCTGGGCATCCATGGATGATACCTTCTTCTGGATAGCCCTGATAGAGAAGTGCCTCCACTTGGCCAGGTAAGTGGTCCTAGTGGAAGGTTTCCTGCTTCCCAGCAGGACCTCCCACACACTGTCTGAGCACTGCAGCTCTGTCACGGTCAGCCACAAGATGCCATTAGATGCAGGATCGCAGGTTTGGGTGACAGAGCCTGCCAAAGTCCTAGTTAATGAAGTCTGGGTCCAGTGGGAGGGCGATCAAGTAGCTTGCAGGACAGGCTCCGAAGGGACGTGTACCAGTGCTGCCTGGGCCACACTGGTGCAATGAGAATCAGGGATGCCCTGAACTCCTGAATCCACAGGAGCACCGTGTGAATCAGCAGGCAAGGCAAGAATATGTAAAGTAGACCCTCAGGCCAGGGAACGATGAGTGCATCTCCCAGGGAGCCTGCCCCAACCCCATGAGGGAGCAGAACCTCGGGCACTTCCTATTCTGCCAGGTGGCAAACATGTACAGAAGGGGAAACCCCTTCCACCTATGGAAAATCTGGAGGACCGTGTCCCCTCAGAGACCACTTGTGACTGAGGAAGGACCTGTTCAGCTGATCTGCCAAAGAGTTCTGGGACCCTGGAAGATAAGAGGAAATTGGATGAATATCCGCCCCGATGTATAGCTCCCAGAGCTGATGGGCTTCCTGATACAGGGGAGGGAAGTGGGCTCCTCCCTGCCTGGTGATCTAGGAGACTGCTGACGTATTGTCAGAAAGAATGAGAATCGTTTTGCCCAAGCCAAGGGAGAAAGGCCACACAGGTGAGGCAAACTGCCCTCAGCTCCCTGACACTGATATGCAGGGAGAGTTTGTCCCTTGACCTTGAGACCACACATCTCTAAGTTGAGCCCCCCAACCAGTTTATGTCCGTCGCCAACTGAAGGGTCGGCAGAGACCTGGAAAATGGGGCTCCAGCATGGACCACCTCCTCCTGGGTCCACCAGTCCAGAGAGCACAGGATGTTGGGTGGAAGCGTCACAACTGTCCCAAGACTAAAGGAACAGGTTGTGAGCCCAAGTGAGCCACATCTGTAGTGGGTGTATGCAAAGCCTGGCATGTTGAATGACGTAGATGCATGCGGCCATCAGTTCCAGGATGCACATGCAAAACCTGGCCATGGTCATCAGGAACACCTGTATGTCCTGGACAGTTGCTTTGATCACCAGGAAACAGGACCTGGTAAGAGAAGTGTGACGGGGCAGCACCGCCACGCACTCAAACCCAGGGAATTCACCTGGCCCAGGTGGCTGAGAGGGCCCCACCCCCACAGCCTTGCTGGGCATGTTCCCAGTACAGCCCAGGTATAAAGGGCTGCAGAACTGCTCAGCTGGGGCTGACCTCCGAAGGAGAAGGAGCTAGTGCAAAACCTCCCGAGCCACAGCCACTGTAGCCCAAGAGAGGCGCGCCAGGCCGGCTGATCTTGCCGCTGCCAGGCCCAGGCTGGGCCCGACTCCAACGTTGGAGCCTCCGTACAGCCTCCCTGAACACAGGCGCTGCACCTGGCGCTGCTGCACCGGACACCGGGTGGGGACCACCGCCAGCCGGGGGTAGGGGAAAGGAAGTGACCCAGGGCGGGGAGCTGGAAAAGCCCCAGCGGACTCAGCTAGTGATGGGAACCTCCTGCCACTGATAGGGCCCTGGGTTGGGGCCCGGTGGAGAGGGAGGGCCCGGGCCCCCCTACCCAGACCCTCGTCGAGTGGGGGATCATGTAAAGGACTAGGCCGCAGAGCCTATGTATAAAGGACATGGCCAGTGGGCCATATTTCCCCTAAGATAGGGACAGTCTACTTTGGAGACCAGACCAGGGAGGCCTAAAGTATGCCCCAGACCTGGGCGGCATACCCTGGAATGGGGGCCACCCCTCGACAGAAGGCTATAGCCAACAGAGTCCAGCTGAGCACCCACAAAAATCTATAACCTGGGTGGTGACCAGGGTCAACTTAGCCACATTCAGGAGCAGCCCCAATTCCCAAAAAAGTTCTTGTACTAGAGCAATGTGGGCCAGCATCTTGTCCAAAGAAGAGCCTTGGAAAAGCCAGTTGTCCGAGTAAGGGAACACCTGGACAACCTACTCTCTCAGGGCTGTGGCAACGACAGCCATGCACTTTGTGAACACTTGTGGGGACGCAGAAAGGCCAAAAGGGAGGGCCATAAACTGACAGTGGTCTTGTTCCACCGTAAAGTGGAGGAACCATCTCTGGTGTGGTGCAATAGAAACGTGTAAGTTGGCATCTTTGAAATCAAGGGCAGTGTACCAGTCTCCAGGACTCCTGGTTCTTATGACAGACGCCAGAGTCACCATCTTGAATTTGGCTTTGGCGATGAAGGTGTTGAGTTCCTGCCCTTAGGGTTAGGAGCTGCTGAATCTCTTCCTGGAGGAGATGCTTGCGAGAGGCATCTCTGA